TAATGAAGTCAGATTGGTGTTTTATTTTATGGTTTGTAGTTTTTGAACCTTCTTGAAAAAATATTTCCTATATTTTGACATACAGATTTCACTATTTTGTTTTCAATATTTAAGGTCTTGCTTTTTGTCTTCAGAACTTTGACCTATTTGGAATGTATTTTTGTGAGTAGTGTTTTCCAAACTTTTCCATAGTGCTAACTCATTATTCCAGCATCATTTGCAGAATGACACATTCTTTTCCTATTATTTTGAAATGCCACTCATGGCTTACCTGATCTAGGTAGATATACTGCATATTTCTTGCTTTCCCTTGGTTTATTTTTCTGTCCCTCAGCACTGTTTAATATCTCATAATATTTTTTATTGTGGTAAAATCTATAAAAAAATTTCCATTTTACATTTTTAAGTCTATAGTCCATTGACATTAAGCCCATTCGCTAATGTAACTGTCATCACTGTCTACTGCAAGAACTTTTTCATCATCTCAAAACTCTGTGCCCTTGTGGGGAAGAGGGGTGCTTGTGGGCCCCCAGCACTCTGAACACCGGAAAAACGAAAGGGTTGTGGAACCTCTGAGCTTGGAGGTGCTGCCTGCGGAGCATGAGTGGTGCGTGAGCCTCCGCGGTGAGGTCCAGGCCCTGTGCCAGCACGGATGGGGACCTGACCAAGAGGCATACTGGCCCTGTGGCTTCCAGGTGGTGTCGCTGGAGACAGGGCCTGAGCCAGGATCCATGATCATAATAAGATGATGAAAATAACAATGATCCTCCTGGTGCAACCCGCCGCCAGCATAGCGCACTACGACTTCAAGAAGATTACGGTGGTGCCGTCCACCAAGGACTTTATCGACCTGACATCATCGAAGACTCAACGGAAGACTCCAACAGTGATTCATAAACATTACCAAATTCATCGCATTAGACATTCTTATATGAGAAAAGTCACATTTACTCAGCAGAATTACCATGACAGACTCTCACAGATGGTAACAGATTTTCCCAAATTGGATGATATCCATCCATTTTATGCTGATTTGATGAATATTCTGTATGACAAGGATCATTACAAGTTGGCTCTAGGACAGATTAATATTGCCAAAAATTCAGTGGACAGTGTTGCTAAAGATCATGTCCGGCTTATGAAGTCGGGCGATTCTCTCTACCGCTGTCAGCAGCGGAAACGTGCTGCCCTTGGGCGAATGTGCACCGTTATCCAGCGGCAGAGGCACAGTTTGGAATATCTGGAACAAGGGCGTCAGCATTTATCCCGCTGGCCAACCATTGACCCAAATGCAAGGACTCTGCTTTTGTGTGGGTACCCAAATGTGGGGAAATCCAGCTTCATTAATAAGGTGACGAGAGCAGATGTGCATGTTCAGTCCGATGCATTTACCACCAAGTCTCTGTTTGTTGGGCACATGGATTATAAGTATCTGCGTTGGCAGGTTGTAGATACTCCAGGGATTTCGGATCATCCTTTGGAGGATCCGAACACCATTGAAATGCAGGCTCTCACGGCCCTGGCGCACCTTGGAGCTCCAGTTCTGTATGGGATGGACTTGTCTGAACAGTGTGGACATGGGCTGAAAGGGCAATTAGAACTTTCCCAGAATATCAGACCTCTCTTTATCAATAAGCCTCTCATAATTGCAGCCAACAAATGTGATGTGAAACGAATAGCTGAACTTTCTGAAGATGATCAGAAAATATTTGTAGACTTGCAAGCCGAAGGATTCCCTGTAATAGAGACCACTACCCTGACTGAGGAAGGTGTTATTAAAGTTAAAACAGAGGCTTGTGACAGGCTTTTGGCACACCGAGTGGAAACAAAAATGAAAGGAAACAAAGTGAATGATGTGCTGAACAGGTTGCATTTAGCTGTGCCTAACAAGAGAGATGATAAGGAGAGGCCCCCTTTCATCCCAGAAGGAGTAGTGGCACGCAAGAGGAGAATGGAAATTGGGGAGCCCAAGAAGAAAAGGGAACAGGATCTTGAGCTGGAAATGGGAGATGATTATATTTTGGATCTTCAAAAATACTGGGATTTAATGAATTCATCTGAAAAATATGATAAGATACCAGAGATCTGGGAAGGCCATAATGTAGCTGATTATATTGATCCTGCCATCATGAAGAAATTGGAAGAGTTAGAAAAAGAAGAAGAGCTAAGAACAGCTGTGGGGGAGTATGATAGTGAATCTGAAAGTGAAGTTGAGGAAATGATGGAAATCAGACAGCTAGCAAAACAAATTATAGAAAAAAAAAAGAAGCTGAAAATCCTACAATCAAAGGAAAAGGATACACAGGGACCCAGGATGCCTCGAACTGCTAAGAAACTTCAGCAGACAGTTTTGGAAAATGAGATGCGTAGTCTTGGTGTTGACCTGGATGATAAAGACCATGCCCACTATGCAGTCCAGGCAAGAAAATCTCGGAGTGTCACTAGGAAGTGAAAGCGGGAAGAATCTGTTCCTCCCTCTTCTGTAGCCCAGTCTCGACCTCCACGTGATGTTTCTGGTCTTCGGGATGTCAAGATGGTGGAGAAAACCAAGACTATGATGAAGAATGCTCAGAAGAAGATGAATCACTTGGGGAAGGAAGGGGAGGCAGATAGACATGTGTTTGATATGAAGCCCAAGCACTTACTCTCTGGAAAGAGGAAAGCTGGTAAAAAGGACAGGAGATAGCATCCTTTTCAGTTGACATGGTT